CTTTCACTCAGCAATACACGATGCGTGGGGAAGGTTTTCAAATGTAACTTACCAGTTGTAAATTTTCCAGTGGCTCTGAACAATGGTTGACGACAACAAAGAATTGATGGACATGAGCAACTCTGGTGCTGGTGTAACCCAGCAGACAGGGCCTCCCTGCCCTTGGTGCCTCCTACATGCCCATCCCAAGAAATCCCACCTCTGGCCATTGCTTTATCCCGGCCACAGGCTCGCCTGTAACAGATCAATTCCTGTTTCTAAAACTGCTCATGTGGTTTCTCTCTCCACGTGCCACAGCTGGAAGGTACCCTTGGGTGCTGGGTGCTGGCTGCTTATGACAGAGCTCATCGTCCTTGGCTGGGAGAATCAAGACAGGATTTAAGCTGTGTTGAATTTAAGACTGAGAACATCCTAGGATCAGTGCAGGGGGAAATTTCTAGGGAAAAAAAAAAAGGATTTAAAATTTTTTTTTTTTTTTTTTTTTAGCAAAGAAAACCACAAAAGAACATAACACCACTTGTCACTTTACCAGACCCCTTCAAGGCCTGCAGTTAGGGACAAGGAAAGAACTGCACTTTAAATGCTAATTATCTGGGGAGAAAAATGTCCCAGGAGGCCTCATTCAGGAGCAGCAGGAGACGCCCCTCCCTGCTTCCCTGAGTTCTCCTGTGAAGACTGCAGAGAAGTCCCACCTGGGAGCGAGGCCCCTGCCTTTCCTTACAAGAGGAGGGTTCCACGGCCTGCAGTAATTAAGGCCATTCTGCCTCTGTGGGGAACACTGCGGAGAAGGATTTCCTGGCTGTAGCTCTTTCTCTCCCTCTAGGGAATTTTTAATTCCATCATCCTTGTATTGGTGAGTCATTTCTGATGACAATAATTAGGACGACGAGAAGCTGAAAGGTGGCTGGGACAACAGGTGACTTTTTTGGACAAAGCCCCAGGTGGGCGAGAGAAAGGAGTCTCGGGCTCTAGAACCTGCTTCCCGGGACTTTGGGAAGGAACGCACATCCAGCCCCATGAACTTGGGTGCAGGGGTGCCGCAGGCAGAGCCCTGCTGGCATCCTGACTTTCCACGACCCCAGGGAATGAGAAGGGAGGACAGAACTGCCTTCTTGACGGGGGCAGCCCAGCTCCCCGGGGTTTTGCTGAGACGTGGGAGGGCGAAGAGCCACGCTGACGCGACGTGAGGCTGAACTGGCCAACCCAGGCAAGCAGCAGCCCCCCCTCGTGCCCCCCTCGTGCCCGCTGTGGTGCCAGAAAGAAATGCGGAGCCGCTAGTGTCCCCTTAGAGCCCTAGGAGATCATCGCTCAATTTAATTTATGCAAAAATGCCAAGTTTTTAAAAGCGTTAGATCAGCGTGGTGTTATCTAGGGACTGTCACTGCGTTGGATGGGAACGTTTTATGGAATTCTAGTCAATAACTGGGCCCACGAGACCCCAGAAGGAAGCCCGCAAAGAGCGTTGCAATTCTCGGCCCCCGGGAGCACAGCATCTGAGAGAAGAAGCCAAACCCTTCAGAGTGTCCTCCCAGTTGCCCCCGGGGCCTTCTCTTCCCTCTCCCTGAGACAGTTGGAGGTTTACGACAAGCAGCCTTCTCTTAGGTGTCATGGTGCCGTGGGCCTGGAACTGCAGTGGGCCTGGACGGGTGGCTCCTCAGTGCACTGGCAACTGGGCTGGGCTGGCGGCGGATGGCGGGGGTGGGGCAGTGGATCCATGCACATATCAGGGCCTCTGCAGGGAAAGCTGCCCTGGGACTGCAGGGTGCTGTCAGGGTCCCGGCCTTCTTACGGGGCTGCTCAGGGTGCTCCCAGAGAGGCTGGGCCTGGAGCGTAGAAGCTTCAGGCTCAGTAGGGCCTGGGTGGTATTCTGCTGGTTGGAAGACCCGTGGGGCCTCTGCGCAAGGGGCCCAGACCCAGACATCACCTCTCGGGGGCAGAAAAACATCAAAGAGCTTGAAGCGCTTTTTTAGAAGTCAGATTCCCTGTGATATAATTTACAGAAAATGAAACAAATTCCCCCTTTTTAGTGTACGATTGGATACGGTTTGATAAACGCATGCCAGCCACAACCCCAACCGCAATGGAGTTGGGCCATCTCTTTCACCCCCAAAACCCCCTGCGCTGTCCCTCTGTGCTCCCAAGGGGTTATTTTTTCAGCATGTATTTTTTCTGTTCTTTTATTTGTAATCTCTTTGTGTCTTCACCTTTAAAGTGAGATCCTTTTAGGGTGCCTGGGTGGCTCAGTGGTTAAGCCGCTGCCTTCGGCTCAGGTCATGATCTCAGGGTCCTGGGATCGAGTCCCGCATCGGGCTCTCTGCTCAGCAGGGAGCCTGCTTCCCTCTCTCTCTCTCTGCCTGTCTCTCTGTCTACTTGTGATCTCTCTCTATCAAATCAATAAATAAAAAAAAATAAAATAAAATAAAAAATAAAATAAAGTGAGATCCTTTTAGACACCACACAGCTGGGCTTTTCCTCTCATCCGATAGCCCGTCTTTTGTTGGTATGTGTACTGTTTACATGCTACACGACTTGAAAAATGAGGTTAAAATCTATCGTCTTGCCAGTTGTTTTCTATTTGATCCCTCTCCTGTTTTCTCCTTTTCCATTCCTTCTACCTGCCTGCTTCGGGATTAATTAGATATTCCTATATTTACATTATTTTCCCCACTCTTGCCTTATCTTAGATCCCTTTTCTGGACTCGTTTAGTGATTGCTCTGGGGTTTACTATATATCTCCTCATTGAATCCCAGTTGTTCTTAAAGTTAGTCCCATGTACGATGGATGAGCCTGGTCAGTGCCTCTGAGGCCTCTCCCCATCTCTCAGGCATTGGGACCCCTCATCTCACTCGCACTCCTGCTGCAAGTCCCGATGGAATGCTACCTTGGTTGCTTCAACAGTCAGCCATATTTGAGAGTGAGTCAAAAATAACAAAAATATTCTACCTACCATCATCTTAACCATTTCTGGAAATCACCCACTTCCCTGCATAGATCATCAGCCTCGGTATCCATCTGCTAGCACAAGCCTTCAGTGTTTTTCACAGCACAGGTGTGCTGGGAATGAATTCTCTCCGTGTTCGTCTTCCTGAAAATGTCTTTTATGATGCTTTTCCAGGACAAGAAGCCTGGGACCGTAGATTTTCCCGTCAGTACTTGAAACGTATCACTCTACTGCTCCTGGCTCACTTGGCTTCCAATGAGAAGGCCCTTGTGATTCCCTCCTTTGTGTCTCCGCAGTATTGAACTTGTCTGGGCGTCCACAGCCTACACACACATTCTGTCCTCCCCTGCCGGCCCCCACTGAGCCTCTAGCACTTAGTTAGGAATTTGAGCTGAGTTTTCCTTACCCAGCTATGCGGTGTCCCCCTGTCCTCTCTCCTGCTCCGTCCCAGGTGAGCCGGCACTCCCACGCTCTCTCCTCCAAGAGGCCCATCTTTTCTCAACATTCAGTGGCCACGCTGACCTCGGCTTTATTGTGGGCTCAAGAGAGGTTCAGGTTTTATAGTTGTTAGTTCAGCTTCCTCTTGTTCTTGGATGTCACGTTCTTCCCAGCATTCTACATCCCAGGCACTATGATCCCCTGGCCTTTTTTTTTTTTTTTTTAATCTACAAAATGCGGAATGGGGAAATGGACCATATGCTTGGCGACACGCAGAGGCAGGGGACAGAGGAATATCGCAGCCGGAGTCCAGAGCAGATGAGAAGAGAGCATGACTTGAAGTGTACTCTTGAGGGGCTTGGGGGAATTTTTTGCTTTTTTCACTTTTCACTTCTTTTATGCTTTTTTCACTTCTGCCTAACAAGATGGGAATAATGGAAGGCTTAGTCATCTTTAGCAGGACCATGCTCTGTCCCCATGTGCTCTGTGCCAGGAGACTCTGTGTCATCTTTATTTCTTTACCTGGAGCCCAAGGATCCGTTTGGCTTCTGTGTGTTATTTTTGAAACAAGGCCCTAGAGAACCAAGACCTTCTTTGGCAGAAAGTTGGATCACAGCCCGTGGGATGGTCCCCTCCAAGGCCATGGAGGTCCCCGTCCTCCAACAGCTAGCCACATCACATCGCTGCCTTTTTCAAAACACTTTGGATTTCCCATGGTGTGCTGTGTACGTCATCAACCACTGTGTTTGGCACAAGGCAGTACCCAAGGTGACTCCCCACGCCCAGTTGCCCCTGTGTGCCCTGTGTCTAGCCCGCGCACTGTGTTCTCACGGTACAAGAGGGTTTCGTAACACCAGGCCTTGCTCACTCCATCTTCCCAATGGAGAAGGCCCTTCCCTCTTCAGACATCTGCCCTTTCTTCCAGACCTAGTCCAGGTGCCTCCTCATGGAAGCCTTCCGTGCTTTCCTGAGGCAGAGTCAGCTGCTCTGTCCTGGGCGTCCCCTGCCTCAGAGAGCTGTGTGCTTATTTCTGTTGCATGAGTATCTCCCCGAGTTCGCGACTTCTGGAAGACCGGCCATTTGGCGAGTGTGTAATTGATCAATAACAGAAAGACAAAATGGTGGTCCCTGTAACAGACAAAGAGAAATTTAGCCTCCAAATGAATGAATAATCCATATGGGAGAGGGTGCTTCCCCCCCCCCCATATGAAGGATTAATGGACTTGAAACATAGTGGTACCTGCTGGGGGAGGGGGTCTCTCAACGAGACCTTGCCTAGATCTCAAACCCTGAGTAACTAAGAAATGAACCAGAGAAAGCTCTCCTTAGTTATTTATCTGGGGATTCCTGAGAAAGCCTCACCCGTGGAATGAGGTGATCCGGTCCACTTTTCCACCGATGCCTTAAAGAATTCTCCCACAGAAAATGAGACACAACCCCAGTTCTTTTTCTTTGTAATGCCACTATTAGCTTCCAGAAACATTTATCACACTTCCCTGTTCTCATTGCTGTAATGGCCTGTGAATCATGAGTGGCAGCTAAGAGTTTCTTTCTCCTCTCTCCTCCCTATTGGGCCTCCTACTGTTTGTTTTGCCGTCTTCCACGACTGCCTTGGAATAGTACCTACTGCACCCCCACAGAACGTGCAGACGGAAGCTGTGAATTCCACAACCATCCAGTTCCTCTGGAACCCTCCGCCTCAGCAGTTCATCAACGGCATCAACCAGGGATACAAGGTACACCGTTCAGCCCTGGGTGGCCATCCTGGTCTGTCACAGTCTTGTGACCAATGAGAAGGCTGCCCACTCCTCATTTCATGGAGAACCTACCACATAAAGTTACCAAGTGTGTTAGCTTTGGTGGTCAGGTGGGGGTGTCACCATTTATCCAAGGTCTTCTCTGCTCTATGGGTTCAGAAACTCAAATTATTAGTTTTTAAGTGGGTGGTCAAACGTAACAGAGCGACTTCTTTTGAGAAAAGCCATTCATTTTTAAATTAGCAGTGGAAAACCTGTCTGGGTTGATTGGAATCAGTATTTGTGCAAACCACATCTTCCTGGAGAAGAGACCTCTCCCAGGAGCACCAACTTAGAGCAAAGGGCGCTCGATGCAAGGGAATGAGACTTCTAGCAAAAGAAGATATTTACTCCCTCCCCATCTCAGCTTCAGGGAAAGTTCTGTTCAATGAATTCAGGACACCTACCTGGCCTGAATTAGAGACACAGATTCCCTCTGTCCTTAGCTACCAGAATCTATTACCTTCATGGATGTATTTGGATGCAGTTTCCAAAGGTGTAGTCCGTCTTGCCTTCTAGATCAGCTACTGGTTGGTCTTGGGATCCCGTCCTGATTTTAGCTACAGCATAGTCACTAGTGGTCTGCCATAACAGGTAAACTCAGGGAAGATCCTTGTGGAGAAAGGACTCCACATGTTCTGCTTGAATTCTTGGTAATTTCAGATTCAAAGAGTATTATTTCCTTAGACACATGGTTCAGTTTTTTTTTTTTCTCCCATTTGGATTCAACTTACAAAAACACTTTTTTGTTTTCATTAGAAAGGCAGAGGTAGCTAGGAATTTGCCCTGCCTTTTCTTTTCCTTTTCCAATTCCCTAGAGGAATCTACACTCAGAAGCTTTGTCTGAAAGAAAATCATATTGATCAACCAAGATGATTTTGCCTCCTTGACTTTCCTGTCAAGTCTTATTGGCAAGACCAGAGCATTCATTCGATGGCTCAGTGTGGGTTTGATCTATACAAATACACTTTGTGTCCTGCAGCATGTCAACCTTCAAACCTAATTAACCCTGGAAATGTTTGGTGTCAAAGGAATTAAAAGTCATGCTCATACATAATGTTGCCCAAACGTTAAAACGACTTCCTTTGGAATGCATACGTGTAGGATATTTCTTTAAAATTGGACTCGACCTCCTAAAATTCTTTTCAGAAAACTAGTGTGATAGAAATCGTAAATAACTAAGATTGGTTCCTATTGAATCAGGGGCTTGTCTTTGAGGCAGAGTTGATGCCTACCCGGGGGAAAAAAAAAAATCTGTGTTCATGTTTCATTGATATTTGTGTTTATGTTTCTTTTTACTGATTAAGTCAAATAAAGATGGTGTTGTCTTTATTGCTTAGTGTTAAAAAACATTACACTCTGAAACATCTTTAAGTGAAGGTTTAAGGAGTGTCTATTATTCCAATATGGGTTAAAGTTAGATAATTTGTTTTTACATACATGTATAAAATATGTGTATAAGTACATATCTGTGTTCAGTTATCTGTGAGATATTTTTTCAACTCCAGATTTTTTAGCAGCATTGCAAAATGTAGGCTTTATGGAGTTTCTTAGTCATGACTTTGCTTTCTTTGACGATACATTAATTACAAACTAAAAATCCTGATAACAGACTTGAGAGTGAAGATGTGCAGTTCAAAAGCATCTCTTTCTCCACATGTCCCATCACAGCTCCTCGCGTGGCCAGCTGAGGTCCCTGAGGCCACCACTGTGGTCACCATTGCGCCAGATTTCCACGGAGTCCACCATGGGTATATAACGAACCTGAAGAAGTTCACAGCGTACTTCACCTCCGTTCTGTGTTTCACCACTCCGGGGGACGGACCTCCGAGCACGCCTCAGCTCGTCTGGACTCACGAAGACAGTGAGTACTGCTCCACTGTGTGTCTTCTCAACAGTCACAAGTCAGGCATCAGGGAGGTCCCCACCACTGTCCTATCCCACGCCGGGCCGGGGCTGAGGGCTCATCAGGAACCTCCTTGTCCTCAGAGAGTTTGCAGTCTGCGTGCCCGAGGGAGATCAGTCAGTGGGAAGTATCGGTGATGAGCGGCGGGAGGTGGTCCCTGGAACTGGAAGCCAGGCTAGCCGAAAGAGCTCAGAGGGCCAGAGAAACAGTCTGGTCTGAGCCATGTGGTCCACCTGTGGTCTTGATGGCCTTCTCTTCCCCTAGATTTCAACTTTTAGTCCCCTTCCCTTCTTCTTTTTTTGTTTTGTTCCCGTATTTTTTTAATTTAAATTTAATTAGTTAACATACAGTGTATTATTGTTTTCAGAGGTAGAGGTAGGTGATTCATCAATCTTATACAACACCCAGCGCTCACTGTGTCACATAAGCTCCCCTCCTTAATGCCTGTCACCCAGTCAGCCTATCCCCTCACCCCCCTCCTCTCCAGCAAACCTTAGTTTGTTTCATATGATCAAGACTCTGCTATGGTTTGTCTCCCTTGCTGATTTCATCTTGTTTTTTTTTTTTCTTCTCTTTCCCCATGATCCTCTGTGTCGTTTCTTAAATTCCACATACGAGTGAGATCCTATGATAATTGTCTTTCTCTGATTGAGAGTTAGCTTAGCATAATACCATCTAGTTCCATCCATGTCGTTGCAAATGGCAAGATCTCAGTTTTTTGATGGCTGAGTAGCAGTTCATTGTGTGTGAGAGTGTGTGTGTGTGTGTGTGTGTGTGTGTGTACACACACACCAGCTCTTCTTTATCCATTCATTTGTCGATGGACATCTGGACTCTTCCATAATTTGGCTATTATAGATATTGCTGCTATAAACACTGGGGAGCATGTGCCCCTTCAGATCACTCCATTTGTATCTTTGGGGTACATCCTTAGTAGTGCAATTGCTGGGTCATAGGGTAGTTCTGTTTTCAACTTTTCGAGAAATCAGTCTGTTCAAGTTGTGAAAAAGTTCAGGTGTATATGTTCGACATTCCCTTATTCCTGCCAGGTCTCTGTGGATAGGTCCTCTGCCAGTCGAATGTTTCTACTCTTGTAGGTTACAGACATCTCCTTTTGAGCTGCTTTCAGATTTTCTCTTTGTCTCTGAAATTTGTAAGGCTCACTACTATATGTCAAGGCAGTGACCTATTTTTATTGATTTTTAAGGGGTTCTCTGTGCCTCCTGGGCTTGAATGCCCATTTCCTTCCCCAGATTAGGAAAGTTCTCTGCTATAATTTGCTACAATATATCATCTGCTCCCCTTTCCTCTTCTTCTAGGATCCTAATTATTCTAATATTGTTTCATCTTATGGTATCACTTTTCTCTCGAATTCTCCTCTCATAGTTCAGTAGTTGTTTATCTCTCTTTTGCTCAGTTTCTTTGTTCTCCATCATTCGGTCTTCTATATCACTCATTCTCTCTTCTGCCTCCTCTCTCCTCGCAGTTAGAGCTTCCATTTTTTTATTGCACCTCATTAAGAACCTTTTGATTTTGACTTGACTAGATTTTAGTTCTTTTATTTCTCCAGAAATGGATTCTCTAGTGTCTTCTATGCTTTTTTCCAACCTAACTAGTATCTTTGTAATCATTATTCTGAACTCTAGTTCCAACATCTTACTTAATGTCCATACTGATTAGGTCCTTGACAGTCGGTACTGCCTCTTGTTCTTTTTTTTGAGATGAGTTTTTCCATCTTGTAATTCCATCCAGAGAAGAATAGATAAACAAGAGAACAAATACTAAAATGGCAATAATGACCTAGAAATGTACACTAAACAAATCAGAAGAGACCAGAAACCAAAAGAGAGAGCGAGAGAGGAGAATATGATCAAACATGTGAAAGAACAAGGCAATACACTGAGTCCAATGTGTATTTTGGGGTGTTTGTTAGAAAACTATATCCCAAAATTATAAATATAACTAAATAGATAAAATAAAACTAAATACATTGAAAGGATACAATATAGGTATAAAAATGAAAATTAAAATACAAAAAAAGAAGGAATATAAATAGACAGATGAAGAGAGCAGAACAATACACACTATATCCTGAGTGTATTTTGGTCTCTTTGTTAGAAGAAAGTACATCCCAAAATTGTAAGGAAAGAAAAACTTATATATATGTAAAAATAAAATTAAATACAATGAAAGGGTAGAATGAAAGTATAAAAATGAAAATTAAAGGTGATTTTAAAAAAAGAGTTGATAAAATAAGAAATTGGTTGAGAAAGGAAAGAGAAAAAAAATAAAATTATCAGACCAAAAAAACGTGGGGAAAAAACCATGAATTCTGTGTACTGTTTTCCCTTAGCACTGGAGTTTTATGGTTCTCCTTGACCAGTAAACTTGGTCTTGGCTGGATGTTCTTGCTGGTCTCCTGGGGGAGGGCCCGATTGCATTGACTCTCAGGTGTCTTTGCCCCTTGTGAATGGCATCACCATTGCCCAGGGACCAGGCTAAGTAGCTCAGGTTTGTATTATGTGGCTTTTGTTTCCTGAAGCCTTTCCATGCCATTCTTGAGGATGAGAATGTACTTGCAGCCTCCCAGTCTCCAGCCCTGGAGCCAACAGCTTGGGGCCCCACTCCTCAGTGAGACATCAGGGAAAAGCAGTCAGTCCCCCGCCCTGGTCTCTGGACGCACTCCATGCTCACCTGGCTTGTGACTGAGCATTTCTATCTCAGGCACATGACCATGCTTTAAGTGTCCACAAGCTGCAGACTCCTGTGGCACCTACCCACACTGCTCCTCCCCGGGAACAGGGGTGGGGGTCTTGCTGCGGTCCTGCTGCTTACTGGGCCCCTGCTCGGAGTGTGGTCACCCAACCATGCCACAGTTCCAGTATGAGGCAACCCCGAGCTAAGAGCCTCACTCCTGGGCTCACTGGCTTCAGGTGGCTTCCCTGCTCTGAAGCCTGGGAGCTCTGCTGCAGTCAGGCACCCTGGCGTTCCCGTGACCCCAGGGATCCTGAGACTACACTGTCCTACCTAGGATTCTGCCCCACTTTGCTGCCTGAGTGCCTTTCAGGCAGGGCCGTCTCTCACCAGAGCAGACTTCTAAAAGTTCTGATTTTGTGCTCTCCTACTCTATCACTTTCTGGTGCCCGTTGATGGAGGCTCCCTCCCACCATGGCTTATCTTCTGATATATGGCCTTGGATTCACTTCTCCGCACCTCCTACCTTACAGAGTCGCTTTTCTATTTGTAGAAGTGCAACTGTTCTTTCTTACATCTCCGCTTGTGTTCACAGGTGTTCAGAGTGATTTGATAGCTTTCTAGCTGGATTCCTGGGACCAGATAAAACTAAGGCCTCCTACTCCTCCACAATCTTGCCAGATCCCCTTACCTTCTTCTCGAATGCCCTGTCAGGCCTCCCAGCTGCACCTTCCCTGACCCTCCCTGGGGCATCTCAACCCAGCAGCCCCTCTGAGCACCTTCACTTGGCACTGTCCCCATCTGCTCACTTTAGACCAGCTCCTCTCTGTCCTCAGGTCAGCTGACACCTGTGGAAAACATCATCTAGTGAAGCTCTCTGAGAAAATGACCACAGATGTGTGCCAAGACTTGAATATGGGAAGGCTCACTGCAGTTATTTGTAATTGGGGAAAAAAGAAAGAAAAACATGCAAGTGTTCCAGAGGGGTGTAATTTTAAAAATTATGGAATGACAGTATACTAAATATTTTGTCGTTATTAAAAAGTTTTTTGAAGAAATGGTCATAATCTACTGTTAGGTGAAAAAAATAATATGCAAAACTATAGGAGATCCAAATTTTATAAAAACACACTTGTATGACACACAGTTGTTAGCTCTACGTGGTGTGATCATGTATGTTTCTACATTCTTTGGATTTTGCCATATATTCTTGTTTTTACAGTGGGTGCTTACTCTCTTTATCTCTTTATATTAAAACTAATATATGTTTAAGAAAAAGTCACTGGGGGTTGCCACTCGTCTGTACTCCAGATTCTTCCTGTCCCAGCCATGGGGCTCTGGGTGTGGCCAGCCTCCTGTGCCACCTGGGGCATCATGGCCCAGCCTTGCCCATCTCCCTGAGGCCTCGGCTTCACTGTACTCACAGAGGCAGCATTTACAGAGGTCAAGGCCATCTGAGATGAGCTTCCTCCCCGTCTGCTCCCATCTCAGGATCCCTCTGTTTTCACCCCAGTTCCTCTCTATCACAGGATGAAGACTGACTAGTTGTCAGCCCACAAATATGCCCAGATCTCCCTCATCCGAAAGTGGCAACTCCGTACTCGCCCCGACCCACTGAGCTCCTGGTGAACTCACTTCCTTCTCTGAGAAGCTATTTCTTAGACCCCTAACCTCTTGCACCCCCGATGACCCCTAGCAGCCACTCTCACCCCAGCCCTGGACTATGACCTCCTTACCAAGCATTCAGTTTTGTCAGCTGCTGCCACTGCATCAAGTGACACAATCTTGTGATTTTTCTTTTCAGCAAGTTGTTGGTACAGTGGATTGATTTTCAAATGTTGAAGTGGCCTTGCACACTTGGAGGAAATCCCACTCAGTCCTAGTGTGTAATTATTGCCCATGTCGTTGGCTTTAGTTTGCTAATACTTTGTGGGTGATGTTTTGCATTTGGGTTTCATGGGAGATACTGGTCTGCAGTTTTATTTTCCTGGACTTTCTGTCTGTCCGGGGTAGTGTCAGGATAACACTGGCCTCCTAAAGTAGGTTTGGAAGTGTTCCCCTTCTCCTACCTACATTTCTTTCTTTTTCTTTCTTTCTTTCTTTCTTTCTTTCTTTCTTTCTTTCTTTCTTTCTAAAAAATTTATTTATTTAGTTGAGAGAGTGCATGAGTAGGAAGAGGGGCAGAGGGAGAGGGAGAATCCCAAGCAGACTCCCCACTGAGCACAGAGAGAGCTCAACGCAGGGCTCAGTCTCACAACCCTGAC